CTTGAGGAAGCTCTTTATTAAAGGAACAACAAGTCTATTATTCATTCATTCACTTAGTCCAAGTATTTATTGAACACTTAGTACTGGTTATGAAGGCTCTGGAGATAAATAGAAAGAAGAAAGACTTTCGTCCTCTACTGAAAAGCTGATTGTCTAAAAGAGGAATTAGACAAAAACCTAGTGTGGAAGCATATAAATTAATTTATAATTACAAGTTGTGATAAGGGCCATGCTAGATACAAAGAAGACAAACTGAGAATTCTCCCAGGTGGTTGGTGTGCACAGAAGACGGAGCACCTGTTTGAGTGGTGAAGAGAGTCAGGAATGAGAATATAGCAATGATGCTCTTTATTTAGAGATTCTACAGAGGATAAAATTATGGGTGGGCCTCTGAATCCCACAGGGAAAAGGCTATCTTTCAGGTGGCTCATGGTGATGGCTAGCTGACAGTCTAAGCATGAATCACCCAGGCTCCCTCACTACCCAGCTACTCTAGGCTTGCATCAAGAACTACAAAGCTCAGGCCTGCATTCTAGTTCTGGCCTTGTCAACCACTTACTACTGGCCTTGGCCAAAGCTTTAACCTTTTTGAGTTTTAACCTCCTCTAGTAAATGAGAATGAGAATAAGAATTCTGCACCTGACTGCTGGGATGATCAAATAAGAGAGCATTGATGAGGGTCACCTGGGTGGCTCAGTGGGTTAAAGCCTCTGCCTTCAGCTCAGATCACGATCCCAGGGTCCTCGGATTGAGCCCCACATCGGGCTCTCTGCTCAGCAGGGAGCCTGCTTCCCTTCCTCTCTCTCTGCCTGCCTCTCTGCCTACCTGTGATCTCAGTCTGTCAAATAAATGAATAAAATCTTAAGAGAGAGAGAGAGCACTGATGAACAAGAGCACATATGATGTGAGCAATGCAACAGTTTACTGTGACTGAGATGATGAGGATCATGGCGGTGATGTGGATAAACTTTTGTGGAAACAATCTGAAATCAAATACTTATATATTCACTCATGAGCTTTTTTTTTTTTTTTCTTTGCATGTTTTTAAATACGCGTAACAGTAGCCAGGGCAGTGGTTTTCAATCGGAGACATTTGGAAACATGCACAGGGGATGGAGATTGCTAAATTTTTTTGGTGAATCCTAGAACGTAATGGGCAGGGGCAGCAATGGGCAGGCCACCCCCATACATCAAAGAACTGTTGAACCCAAGATGCCAATAGGGCCCTGATGAGAACCACTGCGGAATGCTTGACAGAGAAGAAGCATTCAGTAAACATATGCTAAATAAATGAATGCTGTATCTGCTACTTATTTCCTTCAGAGCAGAGAAGACTGACAGTCCCTTAAAATCAAAGAATGTAGCTCATTTTCATCTTCTCAGATCCCTAACTCTAAACCTGAAACATAACAAGCATTTAATGACTATCTCTTAAACATTCAATCAGCACATCAAGATAATCTATTAAACTGCAAAAAAATGATAATTATTTGACAGGGACAAGCTAAGGCGATGATGTTGAAGATGTTCTCTTCAGAAATAAGAAGGATTTTGGAGCGAAATTACTAAAACCAGGAGGTCCTAGGGAAATAAATGAGACTTCCCTCCATCACTGTGACTGTTTTCAAGCTTAAATATGATTGTCCCAAGAAAAAAGTAAAAAAAGTAGTGTTTTATAAAGAGCCATACACTTTACCGAGGTAACCCCTGTACCTTGACTCTGGATATCAGATTAAAAGTAGCCAGCTCAAAATAAAGTTGCTTGGATAGCTTCTTTTTTCCCTTGGGGTGGGGGGGACCACCAGAAAAGTATATAGAATGTATACTATTGTTTGTCAAAAGAACACAAGTAGTATTCTCAAGGACTGATACAATGGGAACCAAAAAATTTAAAATAGCGAAAGGTTACAAAGTAACTGAATGAAGGATAATAGGAAACAATGGAAATAAAGAAAACATCAGAAGATATTTTACAGATTATATAACCTTTCCTAACCCTGAGAAAGGGCAAACTTTTCATCAGAGGTTAAGATGAGAAAAGCACAGCAAGGCAATTTTAGAGACATGGCAGAAATAGGGATAAAATTATAAGACAATGTATAAAAGCAAACAAGACGAGAAACACATGAATATACAATAAGCAATAAAGAAAATGTAAATAGTAATGGAATAATTTTTCAGGTTTTAAAAACAAAGATTTCAGAACTGAAATGGTGAGTTACTACAAATATATTTTTACCTGATATTTCTCCTTAACAGAGCAGTGCTTTTTTAAAACTGAAAATTTAGGGGCACCTGGGTGGCTCAGTTGGCTGAACGACTGACTCTTGGTTTTGACTTAAGTCATGATCTCAGGTCCCCACTCTGAGAGTTTGCTCGAATATTCTCTCCCTCTGCCCCTGACCCCCATGCACACACTCTCTCCCTATCGCTAAAATAAATAAATCTTTTTAAAAAACTGAAAATTCAATTGTAAGTTACCAAAAAAACTGTTCTAAAGATGAAGAAGATACAACAAATTAGATTTTACAAGAGAAGCAGAAAAAGCTGCTAGGTTCTTAAAAATAAGTTAAATTATCAATCCAAATATAACTAGGGATTGTATTATAGGAGCTTTGTATGAAGTGGGATATAAAAGCAAAAATTCCCAGAAGTTGCATATAAGCAAATGAACAAATAAAGAACTGTCATTCAAAGTAATGTCAAAATTTTAATACTATCAGAAAGCCTAACTTGCTTCTGTAGGAAAGTTAAATGCATCAGCTGTGGACCCCTAACAATCTCTGTTTATTATGATCAGTTCACTTGAAAGAGGGATTGACATGTTAGCTAGCATTAACACATTTGGCTTTTTTCTGTTATATACATCAGGAAAAAAAATCTGACAAATTATTGGTTATTTGAGTGAATTCTTAGAAATATAGGCCTATCATGGTAGAGAATATAATGAATTTTATGTTTTTTAGGTGTCAGGTTTTTGTCAAAGAGAGGAGATGGAGTAGTACAAATTACAAACAGATAAGAGCCACAATATTTCTTCAGGACTTAGGTTCTGGTAGATAGAAAAATTTGGGTATAATGGTTTAAGTATTTTTTTTTCCTTTACAGCCTCCTTTCATATTGAACTATTCTGAAGTGTACTCGATGAAAAGGGAACTTCCACTAAAATGATCTCAAGGGCAGCTTACTTCTGGGTTACAAGTTTCATCTTGTATCACAGCCCACACGTATTACATGCAATGGACGCATGGCAAGTTTACAGCAATTTGTTACCATGTCTGGGCCTGTACATTTATGAAGGATACAATTTGAACAGTCAACATGGCCAAACACAGAAATTGTTGGTTGTTGCTATTTATGAGCGTAATGTGGCTTACACTCTCCTTTAGTTTGCTTAGTTCTTTTACTTAAAGAAAAAAAAAAATCATAGCTATTCCAAAAAGGAGCTATAAAGGGAGTTGAGGCCTTTAGCTTTGACCTCCATCATGCATATACACAAAGTCAGATTTATTCAGAAAACTGACATCTAGAAAGCTCCACTGTGTAAGCACGTATGAAGAACTTTCTGTAGTACTAGCTGACAAGATGCAGTCAAAAATTCTTACAATTATTACAAATATGACAGTGTTGAATAAAGCTCCACTTACTTAGAAGTTTCCCCCTTAAATGGAAAATGATCTCATCTTTATCCAAAGTGGTTAAATAGCTTAATAAGTCTTTCAAGTCTACAGATCTCTTTAATCATTTCACTGGTTTATTATGGTAGCAAAGGCATTTTACACAGAGGTTTAAAATATCCCCTTCTTTGTGACCAAAAGGTATATGCATGTTTGAAGGGGCCATGGTATTGTGTTTTCTGAACAATGTAATCTGCTAAGGGAGTTGCAACTTTTGGTCCTGATCTCACAGTGAGGTTTTCACTCCACAGGCACCTGTTTGCAATCTAAATTGAAAGAATCAAAATTTGGCCTTGGACAAATAAAGGAAAGATCCAATTCTGTGTGTCTGTGTCCTCAAGGTAAGATGAATCAGCAAACAGTAGTGATCAAGTATGTATATTACCTGAAACTACAGTCTACAGAGATTAAGTTCTCAGTAATCATTTCTCCAGAGGTTCTTCATTTTTGCCCGGCAAGCCCACCATGATGGTCTCTGAAGCCTGTTCAGATATCTGCCCATTGTCTACCTCAACGCTTTTTTTTTTTTTCCAAATGATCAATTTCTTCCTAGAAGTTAATTTTAAGCTACTTGCCTGTTCCTAACTCAAAACTGTATTTTTCCCGTCTCCTTCAAGCAAAGGCACTACGTACAATTACCTTCTATTGTTCAAAAAGGGCAACCTAGGAAGATCCTTTTATTACACTAGCACAATTAAGGTATCTACCCAGAAATCTCTACGTCTGAAAATGATAACCATTATCAACATTTATTTGAAATCTTGTTCTAAAAACTTCAAAAACACTCCCATCTTCCTGTTTTATTTTTCACACTGACATCCCGGGGTCTTCAAAATGAAAACCAAACTACTTCGCACACACCGGTCTGCCCTCCGCCGTGCTGGAATTACTCATTCAACAAATACCTTGCCCAGCCCGTGCTACATATTTGTACTATATGTAAATGTCATTGAATGGCAGCCCTTTGTCTATGTACACGCCTATATCAAAAGGACGCGATTTTTTCACAGGTTTTGCCCACTTACCCCCCTCCCCGTGGTAAGCTTGCCCACCCCATCCCTCAAACTCTTTCCCCACAAAAGCTGCTAGCAAATAGGGCGGGGTGGGGTGAGGAGGGAGCAGATGCTCCGCACCCGCAGCTGTCACCGCGAAGGGCCTGGCGCGCATGCGCAGCGTGAGCAGCCCGGCCCCGGCGCCGCAGGTCGCGGGGCGAGCTGTGGTCGAGCCCAACGGGCAGTGCATGATCCACAGACACCCTCACGGCTCTGGGAGGGCGGCGCCCACGAGGGCAGTGTGGCGTGCGGGGCGGGCGGGCACACTCACAATTTCAGCATCCACTCGCCCTCCATCACCAGCGTCCAGTTGGAGGCGGTCATGGGCCGCACCCAGCTCCGCTCCTCCGGTAGCGCGGCCTGCTCGGGGCCGCCCTCCGCCGCCGCCGCGACTCGGGCCACCAGGAGCGCCGTCAGCAGCGGACCCCAGCGCCCGCCCGCCATGTTGGGGCGCGGAGGGACGCTCCTCGGCAGGGGGCGTAGGGAAAGGAAGCGACGGGCCCGGGGCCTCGCTAGCGCGCCAGCCCCGGCCTTTCCAGGTAGTCGGAGGTGGTGCCGGGCCGCCCCGCCTCCGCCCGGTCGCACCGACAGTCCCAGCTTCGGAGGCGGGCAGCCAGCGCCGCCTCTTATCCGCCCGGGCCCGCCGAGGCCACGCCCCCTCCCGCCTCGCCTTGCCGTTGCCCAGGGTGTCGGTTGCGTGGGCAACGGCCGCTCTTTCTTTCTGACGCCCTTCCCCCCTCCTCCCCCCGAAAATAAACAGATGACCCAATGTTGCTTAAGTTGGAACGGGCACCGCGTGTGCCCAGGCTCCAGTACGGGGATTGGCGTGCGTGGGGGATTTCTAAAGAGAAACACGGCCGCTAATTTAAAAATTCATCCCCTATTCCATGGTAGTGGAAGTAATAATGGACTGAAAAGTAAAGCTATGTGTAATGAGAAAACAGAAAGATGCTTGGCCATGTCTTGCTAAAAGGAAGAGGAAAATGTAAATACTCTCTGCCCCCTGAATATAAGTATCGCTGCCTAATTGGAGATAATAGTGAAACAAGACTCTGTAATTTTTTAAAATAATTTTAATTTTATAAAAACTTGTAAGACGTGAGTGCTAACATAAAACGAGTCAGGGAATAATGGCAGTTACAATTAAATGGCTCTCCCTTCTCTTGGCTTACAGTTCCCAATATCTAAAATGAGAGTAGCGTAAATGATTTCCATATCTCTCTCCAGATACGCATTAGATGCATCTGTACCTTGAGAACAAAACATCCTGAGTTTGTATGGCTGAAATACAATTAGAAGTGTGCTTTATAAAAAATCTGTTAGCTGTGCAAAACATAAAACTAGATAATATGGTCAACACATGATGAAAAAGTGTGATTTCTGTCCTGGGCTTAAAACAAAGACCGTTATAAAACTAACAGTATTGCTGTTTACATGAGATTAATCTCTAATCCTGTAGGAAAGATTAATTTTGCCTCCAGAGAAGATCTTACTTGAGTTAGGCGTTAATTAGCAGTAGCTCAATGCTATCTGGAGCCAGCCCTTATAAAAATATAAGACTCACATTTACAAATCATTGTAAATTTGGAAAATGTCCTTGTAATAAGTGCCAGTAAGAATCACTGGTATTGCATACAAATCAATCCTATAAACCCAATAGAAAACATTTTATTTTGCTTATAAAAAGGAATACAGGGATTCTATCATTCTTTTCGGTGCAGCTTTTGTATATGATTTGGGATTGGTAGAAAAAAATCTTTAAAACAGATTCTGTATTAAGAAATAACTATTACCCATGGGGCGCCTGGGTGGCTCAGTGGGTTAAGCCTCTGCCTTCGGCTCAGGTCATGGATCAAGCCCCGCATCCAGCTATCTGCTCCGCAGGGAGCCTGCTTCTCCATCTCTCTGCCTACTTGTGATTTCTCTCTGTCAAATAAATAAATAAAATCTTTAAATATATAAATAAATAAAAATAAATTTAAAAATAAAAAATAAATAACTATTAATTTTTGGGTGTTATAATGGTCTTATAACTATATTTTTAAAAAGTCTTTATGGCTTATGGATAGTAAAATATTTATGTGTTTAAAAATATGGTATCTAGAATTCACTTGATAATACTCCAAAAATAAAATTGTGAGGGGTGCAAAGAGACTGGATAAACATAAGTGACAGTGTCAATCAACACTGAAGCTAAGTTCATTTTTCACTTTTCTCTACTTTTGTGTATGCTGAAAAATTTGCAAAATGATGAGTTAAAAAGAGAGAGTATCTAAGGCCCAACGGAAACCCATTGCTAAACTTCCTCTTTCTAAGGCAAAATGTGTGTTCAAGGATTGCATTTCCTGGCCTTCAGAGTAAGGTCAGTAGGAAGGAACATAGCAAGAACGTATGGGAGCAAAAGAGCCGCGTGATAGCACAGAGCCAGGTAAGGGGGCAATTGCTATCCAATGATCAGTATCTTGAGCCCTGACACTTCTTACCTATGTAACTTGGGGCTAAAACTAGTTCACACCAAGGTTTTGTTTAAATGCAGGTAGTACTAGAACCCACTGCATAAGAGGGCCGTGAAGAGTAAATGGGGTAAATACAATGCCTAGCACATGGTATGATTAAATAAGCTTGTCTTATGATCTGGAGGCAATAGCATGCTCTAATGCTTCTAAGAGTCTCTATCTGTCCTAGATTCAAGTCAAACCTGTTTTTCCTGGTACACAAAACCCTTCACAATCCAGCTTCAGTTTTGCCCACTTTCCAGGCTGCCATTCCCACAAACAGTAACTCTACTCCCCATTCCCCAAACACATCAGGAACCCTGGTGAAGTCTTCGAAGATGTGACTTGAAGTCAGGTTGACAAGAGGTCCTGCCTTGCTTCCCCTTTTTCTCTAGGGTTGAAGAGGGAGTTAAAAGCCAAATGCCCCTTTTCCTCTATTCCCAGATCAGCATGTTTCTCACCAAAGCATCACATGTGGTAGAGGTATACCAGTGCCCTTCTCTTTCCCAGCCCCCAAAGGAGTATGCTTCTACACTCCCCATGAAGTTAACCCAACAATGTAAAAGTTCTGCAAGCAGAAAGCATCTGTATGTACCACTTGCAGATTGAAGCTTTTAATCACAAATGTGAGACCTTCCAGTGGAAGCAGGAAGCTCCTCCTATGAAACATTGAGAGATAAGACATGATCTAGGATTATACAACACAAGAGAGAAGGCTAGGTTGATAAGATGCCTCATGGAGAATAGTTGCCTTAGATGGTCCCCTGGATTCTCAGTGGATTTTGCCTAGGCAAGATATACATTTTCATGATGATAAACCTATTTAGGTTAGCTATTACTACATAACTACTGCAATAGAAAGTCTCATGGTTCTGGGGGCTGAGGAGATTGGTTGGGTGGTTTTTGCTTGGATTCCTGCATGTGGTGGAAGATACTTGTCACACCCACTACTTTCTACTGGTTAAACAAATCACTAAGGGCCAGCCCAGATTAAAGGGAAGAGGAATCAGACTTTACCCCTTAACAAGAAACAGCCAAAATAAATTGTAGCCATCTTCCATTTATCAAAAAGTCATCCTGAAAATTTGTAATTGTTTGTCACTAAAGGATCATCTAACCCATACTGACTAGCCCAGTATTTTCTTTTTATGACTTTGTCAAGAATAGCTTAGGTGTTATTTTGGGATGACATTTCCAGAAAGTAGCATGGGAACTACCTCTCCCCTTTTACTTTTTGTGAGTAGATCTGCCCTATTCGGTGCTTGTTTGGGAAAAAGGTACTGGAAAAATGGTTTTCAAGCCTTTGGGAAGCTACATGCTTTGATGCCATAGTGTTTAAGGACTCATGGGACTTCACAGGATTTTTGTTAAACTTATTCGGAAAAGATTTTAAAAAATGTGGCAAGATTTATATAAACATACTCCTAAGTGAGGTGTCTTTTGTACTTTGAACACTTTTTACACATTGAATAATGAACTTAAGAAAAAAATATAAGAACATATATTCCAATCCATATATTCCATATATTTAGAAACTTTTAACACAGAGTAACAAGCAAAGATCTTGCTAAAATTGGTAACTCAAGACTTGGTATTAAGAGGATAATCAATGAGAGGTAAAGAGATTATATTCAGATTACAAACTCCATAGTGAGAGGATATGCAATAGTTTCCCTACTGAGGATGGTGAAACCAATACAGAAATGTTAAATAAGCTAGGTAGTGCCGTAAAATTAGTCCACAGAGTAATAATAGTACAGGAATTTAATTACACAAACAGATTTGCTAAATGCCTTACAGGAACAAGAGGTGGAGGGAGAATTTAAATAGGACACTTCTAGTACAGATGGTAGGAGAAGCCATGAAGAATGGAAATACACTGAATTGTCCCAGGCTAGTGACTAGAAACAAATTCAGAAGAAGGATTAAGTCTCTAAGAAATAGCAATCCCAGGACCGCCTCTTGGGAAAAGAGAATCAACCAATTCTCTTAAAAACTAGGGAGCTCAGGAAGGCTACATACAAGAGAAATAGAGACACACCAGTTCTCTTCCTATACAGCAGTAAGAATAATTGTAAAAATTGTAATATGGGCAAAAATCTTATTGAAGAACAACAAAAACTATCAGAAAAAAAAAAGGAAACCTGGAGAAACATGCAAGACATATAGAAAAAGCAGGATAGGCTTATAGGGTAGAGATGTCAATTTTCCTAAATTAATCTGTAAATCTGATGCAATATAATTCAAGATACAACCAAGATCTTTTATACAGAATTCTAAAAGTCTGTCTTAAAAAGTTAAAGCTTATGACTAGGCAACAGGATTTTGAAAAAGATCAATGGTATGAATCTTGTCCTCTCAGGCATTAAAATATGCTATACAGTGACAATAAAATGGAGGAATTAGTATAAGGAGAAGCAAACAGGTAAATGGATCTGAATGAAGACTCAAGAAACAATATGTGTTCATGCATAAATATGTGAAAGTTAGTCTATTAGTCAGGAAAAGGTAGATTTAGGCTGCAGTAACAAACAACCCTGCAAATTTCAAAGGCTTAACTCAGAAAGCTCATGTCTCCACCATGCACATTCCATGTTGGATCTAGGAGACCCTGGAGAAGCAGAAGCCTGGGCAGGGTCCACACAATACAGGCTGCTTCAGTCTTATGGCTCTTCATGTCAACATGAGGCCTCCACCATGATCATAGCAGAGAAAGAGAAAGTAAAAGGCTTCAAGATTTTTTGGCTTCCTGGGGCTCCTGGCTGGTTTAGTCAGTAAAGCAAGAGATTCTTGATGTTAGGGTTGTTAAGTTAAGCCCCAAGTTGGTTGTAGAGATTACTTGAAAATAAAATCTTTTCTTTTTTAATTTTATTTATTCATTTGAGACAGAGATAGAGAGAGAGAGAGAGAGATTGAGAAAGCATTAGCCGGGGGAGAGATAAAGGGAGAGGAGAAGCAGGCTCCCCGCTGAGCCAGGAGTATGATGTGGGGCTTGATCCCAGGACTCTGGGATCATGACTTGAGCCAAAGGCAGAGGCTTAACTGACTGAGTCACCCAGGTGCCCATTGAAAATAAAATCTTAAAAGAAAAAAAAAAAAAAGGCACCTTTTTGGCTTCCTTAGTCCAGAAGTAGTGCATACCAG